GTAATAAGGATATACGCTCGATCGTTCTTCCTGGAAGTTTTTTGCGAAAAGATCTTACGAAAAGAGAATTATTGCTAGATAAACAGCTGCGAAAAGAATGTTATACACGAAATCAAAGTCTCAATCTGAAAAATATGTCGTCAGAAACCTTCAAATAGTGGAACTCAGGCAGCCTCGCCAATGGATTGCAACGACGAGCAATTTTTGATTCCAACATATTCTCTGCAGCAGCCTAGGACAAGTTATCAAGTAAGATTAATAAAATAGGAGGTAATTTATCTTTATATATTTTTAACGCAAGAAGTCTAAAATATAAACTTTATGACTTAAGACTCTTACTAGTTGATAACCCAAATAGTATTTTCTGTATCAATGAAACGTGGTAGGATGACTCTATTGATAATGGCGAACTAAACTTTGACGGCTTTATAGTATCACGCAAGGATAGAACAATAAATAGTTCAAATATTCGTGGAGGTGGGCTTATCATGCTTATTCATGATTATTATAAATTTATAACCTTCGATGATTATGTTTATTCCTCTTTTGAATCTTTGATAATTAAAATTTATCTTAATAACAGAAATATTTCCCTTTTAAATCTATACCGCCCACCGGGCTATGGAAGCAAATTCACTAGGGACCTTTCACTAGACAACTTGTTACTCAAATTAAAATTAATTGGTACTGAATATGTAATTATTGGTGATCTTAATATGCCAAACATAGACTAGGAAAATAGTTGTTTAAAAAGTAGCAATAAATTTGAAGAGGACTTTATAAACTTTTGTACCTATGTTGGTCTAGAGGAATATATTAAGCTCGCCACTAGGTACAACACTATATTAGATGTTGTGTTAGCTACCCCTACCTCTCTTGTTGATAGTATTAGAGTCTTGGAACCTTTTTGTAAAAGTGATCACAATATCATTCATGCTTCATTAAAATTAGACCGTTATTCACCTCCCTCGAGATTTTCTAGAAGTTACCGTCACTGTAATTATGAAATCTTTAACTCTATCCTCGCAGAAATAAACTGGGATTTCCTATTCTGTTTAACTCCCTCTATCGATGAAAAAGTTATTTTCTTAATAGCATCATTTTATATCTAATAGACCAATACCTTTAAGAAAAATGAACATTAGATCGATTTCCACTTTTCTAAAATCCCTTAAGAAAAGTGTCAAGAAGCCTTATAATGAATATCAATTAACCAAATTGCAAGATGGCCTCTCTACATATAAAGAAAGCTTAAAAATTTGGCTAAGGCTTTTGATACTGTTTCCCATAGCAAATTATTGGTCACTCTTAATAGTTATGGCATAACAGGGGACCTCTATAACTGGGTGTCATATTCCATAAAAGATCGTCACCAAGCCGTACGCGTCAATAACACTCTTTATGACACAATACCTGTTAAATCTGGTGTTCCCCAAGGTAGTTGTATTGAGCCTTTGCTTTTTCTATTATATATAATATAATATCACCAAAGTACTACTAAATTCTACCATTTATTTTTATGCTAATAATTTATTATAAGATTCTGTATGGTTATGTTAAACTAGATTGCTCGAAATATTATAACTTTAGACTAAATTTGAATCCAACAAGAACTAATGGCTTACTAATCCAACAAGAAATTACTAAAACCTATATGCAAAAACCTATATGAACCTATATGCTAAACTAAGGACTCATGACTCCTTTATTCGTACTATTAACTACTGGAACAAATTGCCGAACGATGTAGCTTGTGCGTCATCCCTAGCTGTCTTTAAAAAAAGACTAGATAATATCATTTACGATATTATTAAAAACAAAAAAAAAGAGAAGAGTTTACACCAGGCAAGAACTGTAGGAAGTGAGAAATCTCGATTTTATCTTCAGGTTATATATGTTACTTCGAATTGTACTATATTATATTGATCTGTAATTTCCTCTTTAAATTGTTAACTTTTGTCATATTATTTTATAATTAGTTTTGTTTATATTTTTTTTTGTGTTTTCTTTTTCTGTTATTTTAACTGTTATTATTAATACAAGCACATGGCGTTGTCGCCCTGCTTGGCTGGTTATCAATAAATAAATACCTTAGCGACTCACCTTCAACGGATTTACTCTATGGTATGGATGAAATAACTAATAGCAGATCCCAAGAAGGATGGTAGGAAATATTGTAAATACTGAAATAATCAACAATCATCAAGGAAATATATTAGACATCTTAGAAAATTTTCGCCTCTCTTTTGCTGGATAGACTTATGGCAATACGAGATAGTACCAAGCTAGATTTAGACCGGCGTATGTATGTGCTGGCCAAATATTCGTGCTGAAGGTGTTGGAACATCGATCTTCAGATAATTTATAATCCGCCGTGCTTTATTGATTTTGTCGCTGTTCTCAATTCAAAGCAGTGCTCTAGAGGATGCGACATCAAGAGAAGACCATTCGACTCAAAAAAGCATTTTACCAACAAATACAGATCAGCACAGATCGGCGTATATGAGGAACTGACAGAACCTTTCGAATAAAAACTGATACCTCTCCCCTAATATTCAATATTCAATTATGATAGAATAGATAATGGATATAACTTGTCGGCATTCAAGAGGTGTACAAATCAGCCCTGATCATGGTGCCACAAGCTTTGAATACGTTGAATTCTTTTTATTACAGAGAAATGCAATCGATGTTAATATCTACAACTGCAGCAAGAAATGTGCTAAGCACCACGTTATCTTATATAATTTCATCTCACATACCAGACGCTGAAAAAAAATTTTTCTACCAATTCATTATGGGTTGACGAAGTGCTAGACTTTAAAAATCTTGAATATATTGTAATACCAAACGATCAAATGCTATAACCATCACAACACATCAGCTACATTTACTGTGAGAAGTGAAGCAAATATCATGTGATTGAACTGTTCCCAATTTCCAAGAAAGATAATAGGACGTAGTGCGCCAACTTCGAGGAATCAGTTTACTATATGCTTCTTGGAAGGTTTTTACCTCTCCTACTGAGAAAGATATTGTATGTAACAAAAAAAAGAATCAAATTATTTTTTCTTCCGTTATATTATCGTAATTATCGTCCGACGTGTACCTCAAACTCGGGTAATCAAACCTTTATACAATATAACAATAATAAAAGTAATTAACATTACAATCTTACCAAACAAAAAAAAACAATTTATTACACAAACTACGAAATAAAACCATAAAAACATCAAACTACCCACACCCCTCCACTTACCTACCATTACCATTCGAACAATAAATTATATCCCAAAAAGGGAGACGAATCGATATAAAATTGTAGCCGCAGCTCCGCTTTTGTTGGTCTTCAATCGATTCTGCTCATTTTTAAGCACATTGGAATATCATATTATTTCGACATCATACTATTATTTTGCCGCTGTTTTTGATTCTGGATGGGTGGCACTCCGATAAGTTATGCAATACGACAGAGCTCCAGAGAAAATTAGATTAATTAAACTAATTAAAGTATTTTATCAGCGTATGCCAGCGCAGATATGTGTATATGTTTATTGGGATTTAACCAACCTTTTGCAATAGGAAACGGTCAAGGTTGTGTATCAGGATTGCGCTTTCTCTCCTACAGTTCTCATCTGTGCAGTAGATCGTGTTATGTATACCGATTATCGACGCAAATAGGTCCAGAGCATAGTATTACGGATCTTAAATATGCTGATTATCTGATTTCGCTGTTTACGAAAAAATGTAATAGATGCTATATCGGAATCAACAGCGAAAATTAGTTTTCAAATCAATAATAAGACAAAACTTTTTTGTTTTATATATCATAGACTGATAAGACTGCAACCTATTTAAATTCATCAACGGTTCAAAAAGTCTCAGACTTTAAATATCTCGAATCCACTCTCAAAAGACCAGATGAAAAGTGAAATTCCAGTTCGGATGGCTGCGGCGAGAGGTGCCTTCTTTCGTCGAGCGAAACTTCTCTAGGATCGCTACGAAATCCTCAAAATCAACTTCAAATCTATATGGCTGTACTTTACACAGACCTTTTATATAATTGCGAAACTTAGCCAATGAGACTTGAAATACCATTTTTAATATTAAAAATATTATTGCAAGACATCATCTGCACTGATTAGTTCTTCGTCCAACACAAGAACTGACGTACATATCGCTACATGCCAAACCCTATGATGGATAAAAAAAGCGAGGAAGATTAATTAAAACTTGGACTGATAAAGCCATGAAATATTTTGAACGAATAGGTGACCCAGCGATATATGGCAAAAACGATGGAAAAAAACAACTCCCTTACTCTCGAATGGCACTTGGATCGAGAGGCTCAAAAATATAAATATATAATTATAGCTCACATTTATGGTCTCCAGTGAAGTGAACCAAATCAGCAATGGAGCGAGCTACTAAAAGAGGAAGAATTCTCAGTCGCAATCAATAAAAGATATCGGTTCAAACCTAAATAACTTTGAAAAAACAAATTTTCACATGTTTTTTTTTAAAAGCATCCAATATATTTAGGTCATATTAGTTTAATTATTTTAAAAGATTAAAAAAGAAACAATTGCACTGTTTTCAACAATTCTGAAATATTTGTGCGGAAGAAGTTCAGTTAATTAGTTTCATAGGATCGTTTTTATTCGACTAAAACTGAACGACACTAAAACTGAACGAATCAACAAAAACCTTTAACCATGATTATCGTTTTGGAAATCATTTCCATTTCACAATGGAATATATATTAAAACTCGCCTTCGACCCAATTGAATCAAATCCACAACTGGAACCGACCAAACGTAAGCTCTCGACTTTCGTCAGAAATATGAATATCAATGATCGAAACAAAGAAAACAAAGGAACTAGTTTGAAAACATTTAAAAAATTTTTTATTAAAATTAAAATTAAAAAGTGCGCTTTATTTTCAGTTACCCAAAAGAGAATGCAGCGATATTGATGCAATAACCATGTTACGATTATGACTATGTTACAGAAGATTGTAGAAACTGAAGTCGCCAAGACACATTTTCCCTGATGTGAGGTGCAATCAGTTCCGAACCTGAATTGAACCAACCGGCTACTAATATTGCTTGCTTAATTAAAATATATTTATTAAAATATTTGTTACCCATAACCAAATTAATACTGTGGATAAGAATTACAGAGAAAAAAAATTTCCGAAGAATTAATGAAAGAAAAATTGACTGAAATCCACAAATCTTGAAAGCAGTTCTTTCAAGCCCTTGATGAGTATTCAACAAAATTGTTCTTGATTCATGCGTTATAAAGACAAGCTTTTTTCAGCTATTTTTTTCCGAATTAGTTCTAAGTTAAAAACATCGAAAAACTAACTTAAAGCGATTCGATTTGGCATCCTGATTTCGTTTGGTACTCTTATTATTCCATCTTCTGTTCGGTACTGAAATGGTATTTTATAATCTTAAGCATATATTATATAATTATAAGCATATATTAAATAAATCATAAATCCAGATATATTGTATCCTTGAAATCTCAATAATTTTCTTTTCACTCGAAATATATAAGACCTAATTGGTATTTGTCCATCACATCATTACTTGTTGCCCGCTATAATTATTTTAAAATTTTATTCGAAAATTTATGGCTGAAAAATTGTCTCGAAAAAGTTTCCAATGAATAATAAAAAAAAACTACCAATTCCTGCCAAGGTCCAGTAAGCAAATGGAGCGATATATGGCAAGGCCATACTGTAGCAATCGATTTGTTCGCAAAAAGCAAGAGTTCTGTGTATTTTTGCTGAAGATCTCGAGCTTCAGCTAACAGATCAATGTCAAACATCAAAACAAGTAATGGTGCGAGTTCATCTAAACAGTGATGCCCGATAATAAGGATCAAAATTGAGATTGTGTATAGCACTTGATATTTTAAACATTAACCGAAACACCAACATTAACCGAAACACCAACACCGAAACTGACTTCAAAAAAATCAAAACTTTCGATATCTCTGGTACAACATCGTCAAATTTCAGCAACAAACATTGTAATTAATATATTATAATGATACATAATAAATCATGGATGAAAGCAAATTCAAACTGGAAACAACCTTGAATTGTATCTATATTGTTTATGAGAGATTTAAGAGCATTCAAAAGCGCCGCATCTTCGTACGAGCTACCTTCTTTGAGTGTAGTTTTTTTCCTACAGATATAAATAAAGAAAAAACATTAAAAAATAAAACTATTGAATTTCCATATAATTTTTCAAAATGCGAAATGAAGAAAGAATAGATACCTTTCCATTTTCTTCTTGCGACGTACCAAAGTATTCATTGAAGATTTCGAAATATGGGAGACAACTGTTGATATGTCACTCAGTAGCTAAAAATTGCTTTATAACACTGACGCTAAAAAAAATAAAAATGATGAAATGATGTTTTTTTATGAAAACAGTTGAACTTTTTAGAATATTAAAAGAACTTTTAAATAAACTTCTTCATTCTCATAATCATATATGATAGCATTTTCAATGGCTTCCTTCTTTTTTTGTCGAACAATGTTCAACCTATTTATGTATCGTTTCATATCATCAGTTGATTTTGTAATGAAATCATTCAATTGTGAATACCGATTATAAACCATTTTCTTCAGTAAAATGAGTGAATCTGGAAATATTTTTTAAATCTTTCCGATGTTAATTTTTTAATGAATTTATGATATTTCTTTTTTAATCTCAATTGAACACTTAATCACTTTATTTTATCAACATTAAAATAGAAAAATTTTTTTCGTACAATAAGTCAAGAAGAATAACATTAATAAAGTAAAAATCACTAAAAGAAACCCGGTTGATGAATTTTTCTAGCAATCTTCGCAGCTTCATTCCAGCTATTGGCTTGACAGTAAAGTTCTAGAATTTGTAAATCTTTCGCCTAAAAAACGAATGAAAATTTCGATTTAAATGAGTAAAATTGAAAATATATCAAAATATCAATTTTCTAGTTTTAAATGCTAAACATTTAAAAACGGGAAAATTTGATTAAACCTCGTCATGCATTAGGCAAAGTACATTAGCGGCATCGTGGAATCGCCCTACATTCTTAAAATGCTGTACCATCCTAATTAATGAACTGCTGCATTGTTCGCCAGAAATTCCAAGTTCAACACATAATTCTACATAACCATTATAATCATAACACTTCTCCATACATGATAAAGCGATTTTTAGGCTTCCTTCTCGACGAAAAAGAATAGCAGCTTCTTTAAACGAACCTTTTTTCATCAAATAATCAGCATAAATATAACAAATCTTCTAAAAAAAAGAATGAAAATATATTATAAAAAATGACAGTAATTTCTTATTGCAATGTTAATTTGATTCAAAAAACCAAACATCTGCAAAAAAATCAAAAAAATACGTGAAATGATGTTTGATCCTGGAAAACCACTAAAGCTTTGGAATAAAGTTTATGATTGATAATAAATTGTACTGCTTCATCAAATTTTTCATCGACTTTGGCAATATTTTCAAGTGCTTTATCGTAACGATTTAAGTATAAATCAATGCGATAATTCTGGTAATACTCTGGCGTCACTGATTGGAAATACGATAATAATGCCAAATACTCTTTTGGATCCTAAGCAAAATTAGGTATGAATTCTGAATATGCATTTTATTATTTACATGTTTATATGGTTAAAAAACAAACCGTCAAAAAAAATCACAAATAATTCAGAATAAAAATAATGGAAATTAGACAAACTTGACTTGTGATGTGCGCGATATCTAGAGCTAACGAAAGGTCATAGACGCCTAACGCTTCTCTGAATAAATTTTCGCTGGGGACAAGTAAACCAACGTATTCAATCCAGCTCTTCTTTAAATTCTTTTCGTCAAAGCCTGCAGAAATACTACTAAGAACAAATGAAAAAATATATGCAGTATAAAAAAGAGATATGAAAAATATCGATTTGCCTGTTTTAAATGTAAAACCTGATCTCTTCTGAAGATCTTGTAAAGCTCGGGTTACTTGCGGTGGTGTGACATTGAGATAGGTTGATAAAACAACGGTATATAAGCGAATTAATTCTTTTTCATCGAATTTTTCCAAACACTTTCGAAAAGATTCACTGATAAAATTTACCTAAAATTTTCAAACAATAAAAATATTTTCGCGATTTATATCATTTGGATCATTATATTTTTAAAGCCAACAAAAGAAATATAACATTAAAGAAAAGAAAGGTATGATCATCAAAAATTGCTGCTAAATCCCAAAAGACCCTAAGAACAGTCCGAAATTTTACATTCTTTAAAATCCCAGAAAGATATTTGATGGAAACTTGATAAATTTCAAGTGCTGATGGGATATAACAGATTCCCAGCAAATTTACAGATATGGTGGGGTACGAAAGACTTGAAAGGTTGTACATAACTAATAGGATAGGACAAAAAAGGCTTCCAGGACTAAACCTGTGTAAAAAGGACAAAATCCGGGTGAAGGAAACCAAGTTCTATTTTCTATCGTCGAGTGACTGGGCATTTCTTATACTAACTAATAACCAGTGGGATGAAAATCTGTACAAAAAGATTCCCGGAAAACAATATAATTAAAAGCTATAATTTCAATTCAGTTCATGCACCACTTAATCAAATAATTATATTCATTACCGTTCATAAACATATATTTGCTAAAATGGAAATCAACAGACTTTATTCTTCTTTTCCAGCCCATTCCTATTTTCACTGATAGAATAACAATCTGCATACATTCCTTTTGTTACATCATCATCATTCAAAGCCAAAAGAAACAAGTTGATTAAATCGCTATTATTTACAGAGCGAATAAAAAATTCAATATTCTGTACGAAAAGCTGCAAAAATTTCAACGAAATCAAAGTTAGTTTTTTTCCAGCATGTTACAGATGCAAAAATGATATCACAGTTTTATGATGGACAAATTATTTGTGATGTCTATAAAAATATTACATTTTTACATTTTTATCACAGTATTACTATTTTCTTAATTAAACTTTAAATTAATCTTAAATTAAAAAGTTATCTGTGGAGAAAAAATTTTACGAAAAAAACCTCAGGATTATGATCGTACAACAGATTCATATCAATACGATGACGCTTCATTAGATGTATACATTCAACATATTTTAATGAATCAATCAGTTTTTTCAGTAAATTTATTAACAAAGATCGTAAATAAATAGTCTCAATATTTCCTGCAAACTTAGATGCAAATACTTTTAGAGCAGTAACGTTTCTAAATATCTTTTCAAATAAGAAAATCCCATTCATGATTAAAAACTCAAATGCGACTACTCAAATAAAACAAAAGGTATAAAAGGTATAAACCTCGCGGTATTTGCAACCATAAACAGGCAGTTGTCGGATTGTGACCAATGATAATTGATCCTCGTTCAACAATACGATAACTTGAACTATTTTCGAGAATAAAATTGTTTGAAAATAAATTTTTTATCTTCATCACATGCAGCTTGTTGTTTATATTTACAAGTAAAAATTCGTCGCAAATAGTGTAAGAAATAACATCGCTGAATAACGGTTTACCATTACAAAGTAACTGATTTCTTTTAGTTAGACCAAACAAAAGATTCTGAAAGGATGGTAATTATGACGAAAAAGTAATCATAGTAATTACAATCATCTCCATAATTTATCAAGAAAAAATGAAGAAATTTTCAAGCAGATCTCATTTTCTATAAAATTTGCTAAAATATAAATAAAAATGAAAACAGATACCAGTAACTCAAAAGAGTTCACCTAAATGTATTTCGTTTAGAGTTAGCAATTATATCGAAAAACTTAGAAATCACAAAATCCCAACCGATTTTTCAATAAATGAAATACTTTTGTATAATATTTCGTCATTTACACCTTCTGTAGGCTGCGAAAGTAAGTTGAGCTGCCTGTATTGTAACAAAAATATTTCCCTACTTCTTGACTGAATAAAAACATTTGAATTCTCCGAATGAAGCCATGAAATCGGCACAGCTGAGCTGTAAGACACAGAGCTGAAATAAAAAAAAAAATAATTTTAACTGTAAGACACAGAGCTTAAATAATAATTTTATGAAAAATAATTTTAAAAATAATAAATAATTTTAAAAAATAATTTTAAAAATAATTTTAGAAATAATTTTAATAAAATAGTTTTAACGAGGACAATTCCAAACGATGAGAAACTTACCAATCATCTAAGTTATCAACTGTACTCTCAATAATGCTGTGATTATCACATGAAATCAAAAGTACTGCAATATGTTGACCCGTAAAACTGATATTGGTACAAAGAAAAGGTGCAGCAAACGAGACGTCAAAATGTTTGCTAAGTTTAAAGAAATATTTTCGCTCTATGAGATCATCTAAAATGAAATATATGATGAAAATTAATAATAAACTCATCAAACTGACGGCAATATCTTTAGATTTTCAAACTTATTGAATATGCATATATATATATATATATATATATATATGTAAGTAGATAAAATCATCATTGAAAGCATCTGCATTTCATCAAAGAAAACATAAAAATTTTAAAACATTGCAAAGAACTTTAAAGAAAAGTTTATTTCTACGAAAATTTATAAAATTTATAATAAACTTACATATGTGAAAAAAGTGATTAGTCAGAAAGAAAGCAGCACCAGCACCACATTGAGCAATAGCAGAAACAGTATCGGGAAACTCCATAGAATAATGACACATAGGGGGTGGAACAACACCCGAGGTTAAGTCGGTTACTCGCACATTTTCTAAATTGTCCATTTTTTTCAAAAAATTGCAAAATTTCTTTCAGATATCTTTTTACTAGCAATGATTGACGTTTTTATCCATTTATCAAACCACTTTTTTCCAAAAAGAACGAGTAAGTTCGTGATTTCTCCACTATTTCATGTTAATTCTCTACTACTTTATTTCTCTACCATTTTAACAATTAGCGAAATGGAACATTCAGTTAACACTGGTGCATCAGGGGCTTAGTGGCAATTAACTGCTACCGAGAATCGAGAATTGCTTGCGTTTGAATTGAGGGACCATGCTTTGCCGTGTCAGCCGAATAACGAAAGCAACAGGTAGTGGCTTAGTGGGTTGCTGCCAGTTTGAAATTCCAATGCTGAGGCTATACGCCCCGCAGAAGTAAACTCGTCCTTCAATAATCTAGGTAACACAGGCGACTTACCTATATTGCTATCACAAAGTGACTTACTGGCATATCTAGTCCGACAAGCCAGCAGATTAACCAGTAATAGTTAGAGCTCTTGGAAAAAAATTCAGCTAACATAAGGTCTACAAGCAATTTGAGATTAATACCAGAATGTAAACTCAAAAAACCGAAAAATTTTCTATTCATATACCTATTGTTTAATCTCTTTACTATCTATCCAACAATAACTTACAAAAACTAAAAATACCTTTCACCCTTTCACTTCTTGTATTGAAGATTTCATTCATTTCAGCCTTCAAGGTTCAAAGTGAAATTTAGCAGAATTATAGAAAAGATATAGCACATATACATATATAAATATGGGGAATAGAATGGCTCAGTGGATAGTTGTTCAATTGGGAGTGCCGATATTGAGGTTCGATCTCCCGCAGGCGTAAACCTGTACAAAAATCCGGGTGATGCTGGCGACTCACCTGTACTTCTATTGCCAAGGGACTCCCTGGCATATTTGTCCAGTGCGATAAGCCGGTGGAGCGAATTTAACCAGTAATGGTGAGGATTCTTAAAAAATATATAATATATATATATATAATAGGCACAATAGTATTAACGTACAATTTCATCCTATTATCAGGAAATCTAAAGATGACCTTACTAAAAATTTTAAGATATCCATCATTTTCTGAGCCTGATTTAAAAAAATCAAAAGCAGAAAAAAGAAACACACGTCCATTGATTACGAGAACTATTCCATCGTGAATATTATAAATGAAGCTGAATTCAATAGACCATACAAATCCCTCATTAGTAACGTATTTAAAAACATTTGGACTCGAATTGGCCCAGCGACTGTATAGCAGATGATTTGAAAAAGTTATCCGATATTTTAACATCCAGTCGTAGTTGCTCACGCACCAAAACTGAACTGTAATCACAAATATCGTGAAATTATTTAGGAATAAAAAAGCACATGTTTCGCACAGATTGTAAGTTTTTAAATGAATCTTTCTGCGGATGAAGAATTGCAAACCTTCAAAGTATGCCTAAATACTATCAATTAGAGGAAATGTTGTAAACGTAGCACGAATTATTCGATACGATCTATTTTATTGGTGTATTTTTCATCTGTAGACAACATCTATTTACCACAAAAATGATTTTAAAAACGAAAATAGAGAAAAAAAAACCTTCTCTTAAAGTGCAGTTCAAAGTGGCTAAATGAATACAAAAAATAGTTGAATCATAATTCCATCCCAGCCATGACACATAATCATTGTTAACATCTGGCAGTTTGAAACTCGACCGTACTTGACCATTCCTCTCAAAAAAGAAAATTTCTCGCACAATGCCTTTAACACGGCTAACGGCAATTAAATTTCCAGATGGTCTGAAAGGTGGTGCTAAAAATAATTCGGAAAAAAAATGAAGTAAAATCACAGATATAGCAGAAGAAAAAAAGAAGTACCTATATGCGAGACTTTGTTCAATACCAGACAAAGGTTCGAGACAACTAATCAAATCCATCTCATCATTCCATATGGAAACTTTCCTTATTTTTAGACTGTTGACATAACTAACGGCAAAATATGTAGCATCACCACTCCAGCTAATTAATGTATTACCAATATCGTGTTCCAACACTTCTGTCTCATATTCATTCTATATAAGAAATTTTAGCAATCGTTTAAACCAAAATGACAACTGATTATAAAATTCCAGCATCATAAAATTTTAAAAAAAAGGTTTTCAAGAGTTACCTCTTGCTGTTTCCTTCTGCCAGCGCCTTGAAACTGAGTTTCACTTGATCCCCATCCTAAGCTAACTAGCTGATCTAGAATTTAAACATTAATACATGCTCAATTACCTATTAAGATTTATTCAAAAATCAAACAACATCAACCTCTTCCAATTTCACTTGAAATTAGTGACTTTATTCCACTACATTGAAAATCACGCGAGAAAAAATGAAGTAGATCTGATGAAATTGAAATTAATAAATGGTGATCGGGAGCCCATGAAATTGCATCAATGATGTGTTGAGAATCGAGTCGAAATACTTCCACGGTCTAAATGAATCGTTTTATAGCATAAAAACTATATCAATAAATCAATAAAAAAAAATATCAATAAATTAAATTAAAAAAATCAGAATCATCGGCATTTCACTTAATAAGAAAATATTTAATATCGTAAAATATCAGTTAGAAGAAATGGCACATCTATGCACATAAGAAAAAATTTTTCAAAGTATATTAAAATAAATTTTAAAAAATATAAATTGTCTATCGAAACCCCCTTATCTTCCGGCCTGAGAAGCACGACCGTATTTGAGGAAAATATAGCACAAATGGCATTTTCATCACCCAGTTCATCCAGCGATATAATTTTGTTAAAATCACATTCGGTACTTTTCGGATATTCGAAAAATTTCTTAATTCACAGTTATATTTACAACCGTTTTGAATTAAATAAAAGAATTGAATTAAATTACCTACAAATTTCAATAAATTTTAATATTTATATAATAGCGCAAAAACTTCTTCCTAAAATTTTAGAATAATATTTGATCACAAATTTTTGAGAAATAAAAGAAAACAAATATAAAACAACTATATTAAAAGTTTAATGACTTTAAACATCCAGTAACAAAAATGTTAGGAAACTAAGAAATGTTAGGGAATTACTTGGGAAGGAAACTGCAAAATTCCTTGAGAAAATGCGCAATAAATTTGACCGAAATCATCTATGAGGAATGCTTGAGCATCTGAAATAAATAGAGACAAACGAAAGGATTGAACGAGTATTTAATGAAAATTATTTAAACGAATTTGACTGACATGCAATAAGGCAATGGAGCAAATATCATCCCAAGCATCCTACATAACGTATTGCATTAGAAACTCCATTGGGATAAAGGCTTGCCTATATTTTAACTCCAGTCTCCATGACTATGATTGTTCATCCTAATAGCCAGTAAAGCAAGCTAAAAATTGTAGTAAAAAATTGCAAAACCTCATTTTTTTTTTTAATTCTTCATTAATTTTAATAAATATAACTCAAATCCGAAACCTTTTTATTTCACATGCGCCTTTCTCCGACAGCTCTGGTGTAAACATAAAGGTTTAATTCGTTTTACTTAATGTTTTATTTTATTAAAAACCTAGCTGCCTAAGTCAAGGGTAACAACCTATTGCACAACGGCTTCACCCAAATATTTCACGCTTGATAATTTTGGGCAAAAAGCATCTTCAAGTCTCATTTGCGATTTAGCGAGCAATTCAAGTAACACAACGATAAAGAAGTTGAGCTCATAGAATTCAACAATCTCATTAAAACAATTCAAACCGCCATTTTAGTATTCAAAATATCTTACAAAAATGTAAAAATAAAATATAAAAAATGGGAATAAAAAATCTAAAAATCTAAAATATTTTAGAAATTTACCATTCATTTGAAAGAATCCAAATTCAATGAATTTAAAAGAATTCAAAGAAATCAAAATACCAAAACATTAAAACTTATAAATTATGATAATTAAAATTTAAATATTTCAATCATATTTCACACAGACAAAAAGAATAAAAAAATGAATAAAATAAATCAGATTAAACTTACTATTGAATGAAATGTCGCTGAATTCGTCACATTTTAAATCCAACTTAGTACATGAGGACTTCCAAACTGTTAAATTCCTCATTTTACTTCTGTCTGCAAAAAATTTCCACAAAACCTCAAAAAATATTTATAATTATCAATTATTTATCGCTTATTATTATTATATTATTATTATTTTGAGTTTCGATCTTTTATATATTAATATTAAGTAAGAATGTACGACAAAAATCTACCTTTAAAGGCTTTCAGTTATCAAATGTGAGAGAATATTGTTAAAATATATTTAATATGGTTAATATATAGTTAAAAAGCTGTAGATCTAATGGAAAATTTATCTGTTATTACTGAAAAGGTAGATAAGCAATTTCGACGAGGTTGAAATAGAAAGGAAATGCTGGAAAAGAAAAAGGAAAAAAAATTGGTTCTGAAAGAAACAGATGAAAAGAAAGGATATTAGACTGTGGACGTGCATGTTGTCATTATTTATATTTGAATTTAACGTTTTTTGTTAAGTATGTCGGTAGGATATCAAAGCACCGACGCTGAGGTTCTAAACACAGCAGGAGCAAACCTGCCGTTCAAAAATCCAGATGATGCTGGCGATTCACGTATTTCCATCGCCAAGGTATTCCCTGGTATATCTGTCTAGTCCGACAAGCCAGCGGAACGACTCTTAGCAGTAATGGTAAATGCTCTTTAAAAAAATAAGTTACTTCTTCATTGCTTTGAAATCGACGCACAATTTCGAAATTACTGCCAAATCCCCACTCAAAATTCTCCAATCGCGTAATAACGCATCTAGTCAGCATTTATTTATTAATGGGAAAATAAGATATTAATGAACAGTATGCTGGAGTTCGGAAGGCTTCTAAGGGAAAAATTAATGAGGGTTAAAGCCAACTGAACATTAACGGAAGTTTAAAACGAATCAAGTACCCGAATCACCAAAGTTTAAAGCAGAACCATTATGGGATTATCAAAAATGAGGAAAGAATGTGGCAGAGTTTGAGAGAGCTGATACGAAAGCACAAGGAGATTTTAGAAAGTACAAGCGGTTTATTAGCGTATGAAATGGCAAATTGTCATGCTTAACAATTAATTTGCAATTTTATAATTTGTAATTGCATCAATGTCAATACCATGTGCACGTAGCGCTCGGGAAAAAAATAAAGTGAGATACTCTAAAGTGGTTACAAACAGGACTTGTATGATTAAAGCGATAAGAATGAGATTCTTCTACTTCTTCAAACAGCTTTCGTTAGACTGGCTCCGCTGGCTACAAGGGTGAGACATCTCCAAGCTGCTTGGTACGACGCCATCGCTGGTAGTAATAGAAGAATAGATTAAAATGAGATTATTGATGGATGAATGCAAAATGTGGAAAAAGTTTAGAAAGGTTTTTCGGAAAATGTGGAAAAAGCTTAGAAAGGTTTTTTGCAAAACATGCAAGTTTTGGGGAATAGCAAAGGGTTTAAACCACGACTGATAGGGATTTCTTAGGTAAAAATGGTGAGTTAATATAGAACAATCAAATTTAAGCAAGTATTACTACTTGCTTACAAAAAATTAAGCTTACAACAAATAATTTTGAAGAGGAGAAATTTGTGGAAGACCATCGGTTGTGAGGCGGGCTTGTCAAGAGGTTGTAATAGCATCTACGGGATTCAGATAGTATAAAGAGCATTAAAGGAGAATATTTGCTGAAATAGGAAATAACAGAGATAATAGAGCGTGGTCTGATGGAGCATTAAGGAAAAATAAGAAAGCTTTGAGATGTTAAGGAGTTTGACTGGATTTATTTATTTTTTCAGCTTTATTCGAGCAGAAAATATAAGAAGGAATGCAACAGGTTTTGAAAATGTTAGGAAGGAAAGGAATGGGTGATAGAAGGCAAAGAGTGGACCTGGGGGTGTAGTGAGTTCTAAAAGGGAACAACTGGATTTATTTATTTTTTCAGCTTTATTCGAGCAGAAAATACAATAGCCGAAATGATTTCATGAATTGTTCGAAGAAATTTCAGGAAAATACATTGATTTCTGCTCAACTCAATTCAAATTTCAAGAATTCCAAATCTATGATTGCGATTTAGGAGTGCGAAAGGTTGGAATTTATTTTTTGCGAATAAAGTTGAATAAAAAAATCGGATTTAGAGAGATAGCGAAGGAATTCAACGGATGTAGGGAATAATTTTGAAGAATTTTGGAGAAAGTAGATATACACTGATATATACAGCAAGTTATTAAACAAATATTCTGTAGAATCGAAATGTGCCCTCCATTCCTTTCATGTAATAGTAACAGCCTACAGCAATACCAGCAATACCTTGTCTGCACCCCGTTTATTCTCAGGACAGATCGCAGTTCGAAATTCATTGTCACGCTTCTCTCAGTGTCACCACCTGTGATTTTTAGCATACCAAAATCTAGTGGGCAACCCGCTACCTGCTGATTTCGTAGGCAAATCAGTGCAATGCTGTTTAAGGGCGACTCATCAGATAGTATACAGCCTTCCTCTGTATATCCACATTGTCCAATGTAATCGCACCTGGTAGCACTAATAGCGAAGATGTCGATGGGAGTATGAACTTGAAACAATTTAAAAACCATGAGTTCTCTAGCGTCTTCGAAATATCGTACTGACTGGTACCGTTCGCGACATCGATATTCAACAGAACAGCGGAGTTCACAAATTCGAAGCTTTGTTACCACTAATATGTACGCTATTGCTAATAACCTTTTCGTGCGATGCACTCGATCGGCTTTCCTCGAACAAATTAAGTTATATGACCGATAACAATAATTTACAATAAAAATATACGGTTTTTTTCTTTTATTTGGTGTTCAACTAGTTTTTTCACCCGGTGACATGGAACTTCAGGCAAAACCAAAAACTGTCAAAGTCATGCCAACCAGAACTCGCACCTCCCTATTTACCAAACATTTATGTACGGTACCAAACCTCCACCATAGACTATGTTAGGCAAAAAATAATGTTTGGTTAGGCAATATGAAGCTGACAATTTAAATATGTCGGTTCAACATAGTTTGTGTCCTACAATTTAAATATCGTCAATTATTGGTTGTAAGGCAAATTTTAAGCGAGTATATTTATGGGACATGTCGTAAGAGTAGCGTCATATAGCGTCGACGAGTCACGAATTTAGATAATTTGCAATTGTATGCATTAAGTTTTTAATTTTAAAATGTAAAACTTAGTAGGTTTTTAGTATCGATCAGTTGCCGACATCGGGCAGAACGACTTCGGTTGGAGCCAAAGTTTGGCATCTGCTTCTTGCTGGGAGAAAACGCGTAATTATAAGTGAAATCCTCATGGTGTTTGGGATTCACATATACTTATACGTGTGAATATCTCACGATCTTTGTCCTATCTTTGTTGTCGGTGGAGCCAACCAAATCAGAAATGATAGGGGTGTTAGAAAAAATAATCGAGTGGAATATATTATGAAAAATTACGAATCGAGTTGGGGTCTGCGGGTAAGCACATGCACATATGCATAAACCTGGACGATTTCACCGGGTATTTTTCACAACGCGCTGGCCGAATGACTTGATCTTTCAAGCTTTTAGTCAAAATAAATCTTCACGCCATTGCACCGGCAAGAAGTTGAAGAAATACTTGAATGTGTGTGAGCAATAGCCTTGCTCCTTTCTTCTTCTGATACCCTTGGCCATTCACTGATTTCACTTGCTGCAATGGTGAACGGTTTTCTGAAAGCCTTTCGATTCGTTGCTATATCGGAAAGTAATAATGATATTTCTTTTTCATTTCTTTCTTAACACATCATGGAGCGCCTAAGCTTTCAGAATATTTCCTTCCCTTGGTCGGGTATGCTTATGCTCTCTTTTGATAACGTCCATCATAAAATTTGCATTTTTTAAGTCAAATTTTTGATAATTTCCACTTTTTTTCTTTTGAAAAATTTTGAGCGTTAAAGTAAAATAACTTTTGTTTTGATGTTCTATGTTATTTCACAGATTTCCCCTAAAGGAAGACGAAAATTTCCAGATTCATCTGTTCGGGCTGGAAATTCCACGCAGGTATGATCTATTATTGTAGCGAATCACTTTCCTATTTTCATTTGGCACTTACTTATTTTAGCTTAACTAAAATATCCGACGACCAAACTATTAGTAGTTTATTGCTGTAATGTGCGATTTGATTAAAAAACGGGTTTCTGGTACGGATGAAGGAGTCTTTATGGATCACGGTTTGCCCGATGAAGTGATTTTGAGACGTGATTTAATTACGAGGAACCTTCAGGTGTGCTATTTACTTTCAAGGTTTAACTCTTTGAAAAAATGTGAGAATTTGTTGCTTTGAATTCTTCGAAAATCCATATCTGTATATACTTCACTTTAAAATTATTTTCTCTCCTAAGGAAGTACTCGGGCTCGACACGTTAACTTCACATTTGAGCAGTGGCAAAAGGATTCATGTATATTGGGGAACAGCAACAACAGGACGGCCTCATGTCGGTTATTTTGTACCAATGGAAAAGATTGCAGATTTTCTGTCCGCCGGAATTCGCGTATTTAATTCCTTTATTTGTTTCTAATTAATTTAATTTGGATGAATAGTATTTTTAAAAGGCGAAGAAATTGTGGATAAAGGTATTTGCTGGGAATTTCTATGATTTTTTCTATTTCTGAGCAGATGCAATCCTGACTTGTTGGTGATGAAATAGTAGGCCACTATAGTAAAGCAAATGGTAAAATTTCATATATAAGAGATGTATAATAAACTATTGTAAATGCAAAGATAAAATACTAATTATTGGTAGAACTGGCATTAAATTGGTATGCGAACTTTATGGCTACAGAAAAGGATATAGACGTTTGAATAAGGTGGCAGGAAAGAGAAACAAAAGGAAGAAAGATTGTGAAAGGGAATGAACCGAAAAGTACAGAAAATATTTACAAAATCGAAAAAAGAATGTTTTTTCGTTTGGTGGAAATATATAATGGCTTTCAGTCATTTGCAATTATTTTTCTTAATTAGCAATAATAAACAATATTAACTGCTGAAAAATTCAGGTAACTGTATTATTTGCCGATTTGCATGCTTTTCTCGATAATATGAAAAGTACTTGGGAACAGCTGGAAAATCGGGTTCGTTATTACGAGAGGATCATCAAAGCATTGCTTAATTCTCTTCATGTACCTTTACACCAGTTATATTTTGTGCGAGGAACTTCTTTCCAACTTTCTAGGTTACTATTTTCGATATTTTTTAGACGTTTTTAGATGAAGAATAAATTTGCTTCTTGACAAAACAGTTAACGGCATTTTATTTTTTAGAAATTACACTTCGGATGTCTTGAAATTGTGTAGTCAGGTGTCGCGTAGAGATGCACTTCGCGCTGGAGCCGAAGTCATTAAACAAGTATGTTAATAATTGATATTTAGTCAGTTTTATGCAATTCATTTATTTTTTTTTGGTCTTTTCATCGTTTTCTTTTTTTAACGGTGACGAGCCTATTTTTATATGTTCATATCATTCATTACTTGATCCTTGATCTTTTTATTACTACATAAATAGAATTTATTTAGGTTGATTCTCCACTGCTTAGTGGTTTACTTTATCCACTTCTTCAAGCGCTTGATGAACATTACTTAAAAGTAGATGGACAATTTGGTGGTGTTGATCAAAGAAAAATTTTCATTCTTGCTGAAGAACAATTGCCGAAGTTAAAATTAGGCAAGAAATTTCATTTAATGAATCCCATGGTACCTGGATTGCAAGGAGCAAAAATGAGCAGGTTTATAGTTTCCTAAGATATTTTTTTGTATTTTTCATATTATTTATCATGAGAGAATTGTTGCATTTTTTTATATTTTTTATGGCATAAATTTCAGCTCTGAAGAAAGTTCGAAGATCGACCTTCTGGACTCTGCAGATGTTGTAAGACAGAAAGTTGATAGTGCAGTTTGTAAAATGACGTCTGATGATAATGGCGTTCTTGCTTTTTTTGAATATGTTCTATTTCCAGTTGTGGCACCAAATTCAATAAAAATTTGTGGTCGGGAATTTCGTCGTGCCATTGATCTAAAAGAAGCATTTGAAGCTGGTACAGTTGACGAGTTTTCAATCAAAAATGTGCTCAAAGTTTGTTTTTTATATTAAAAATTCATAATTCATTTTCATAATAAATATGAGACGAATTTTGAAGTATTGTCGCGATTTTTTTTTTTTTTTTGACTTATGGTATTCAAGTAATTTTTTTTGAATGCATCATTTCATCGTATCATGCACACCTCTAATTCTGGTTTGGTACATAATGCTGGATCAGATTCGCTAATGTGCTACAAAAAAAGATGTCACACATTCGTGGTAGGCGTTATTGACGTTAAACTTACTTCGAAAAAACGCATCAACAAATTATAACATCTAATTTAACTTTTATCTTGAATTTTTTTTTATTTTCTCCACATTACTCCACTGTAACATCGCTTTTTTGTTTTATTCTTTCCTTTAGAATCTTTATTTGATATCTGAATCGATAGAGTTGATATGAAGATAAGATTGTATTTTATCTTAAACTGCAAATTAAATTGGTATTTTGTGCATTTAAATTGGTAATTCGTGTCGGATGTAATTTTTAACTTGTTTGATTAGTACGTATTAGTATATGTAGTATACATATCATCACTGTGGTAAAGCAGAATAGTGAGGGGTAGATTTCGTGCGATTTTACTATTTATAATTTATATGGCTAGTGGGTTGTTGCTCAATTGGAAGCGCCGATGCTGAGGTTCGATTCCCCGCAGGAGTAAATCTATACGAAAATCCGGGTGATGCTTGCTGGCGACTCACCTGTATTTCTATCGCCAAGAGACTGCCTGGCGTATTGCCCAATGTGACAAGCCAGTGCAGCGAGTTTAACCAGTAATGGTGCAGAACTTTTAGAAAAATTTTTATAGCAGCTTATTTACGTAAAATATAATTTTTATTTTTACAGACACACTTGTGCAATTTGCTTGCATCTGTTCAAAAAAATTTTTATGAAGAAGATGTGGCAGACATTATAGAAAAAGCTTATTCCATACCAAAGGAATTGTTTGATATACCTACTGAGGATTTTTCGGATCTAGAAGTTCATGATGTTGAAGAAGTAGAGATTCAAGAACTGATTGCAAATGCTAAGGTAGTCTTTTGTATTCCGAAATGTTCGTGTGTTTCAGGCATTGTTTGCATTTGTATAGGTACATGAAAGAATAAGAATATGAGTTTTCTATTTTATTTTTTTTTATCATTATGAATATTTTGGTAAAAAGAATAATAAGGGTGAAAATCAGCGAATTGTTGTTTAAAAAATTGAAGGTATTTTTTAATGGTTAAATGGTTCATTTCTATTAAGAGTATAGTTTGTTGAAATATTTTCAAATTGGTCATTTTAAATAATTTTTACGTGATGAATGATTTATATTCATATAACTCAGCTTGTAGGGCATATTGAGTGTATAGAATTTATATAGAATTTATAGGATTTCGATAAGTTGATAAAAAAAATGCTAACACTGTTTATTTCTAATCAACTTTTTCTTTTTTCATTTCTTTTTTTGAAAAGATATTTTGTGGTTTCTTTTTTTTGCAGATAGTTGGAAATCTTTCTTGGCTGAAGAAAGTTTTACATGCAGACAAAAAATTGCATGTACTATATTCAATCGCACCTAAGGGTCGTTTTCATTTCGGTTTTATCTCACCACTTTTAAAATTAAAGGTAATTTCTGGAAAAAGTTTTTTTTGGTGGGTTAATGTTATAAATTTGGTTGTGATTTTGAGGGATTATGCATGTTCCATCCAAAATTTCTATTTTTTAGCAGCTGCAAGCTTGTGCTAAAGTTACGATAACTATTTTAATAGCTGATTTGGAAGCATTTTTGGATAATGAAAAATGTCTATGGAATTTACTTGATGCAAGATTTCATTATTACAGTGCAGTTTTACTGCAGATATTGTCGCAGATAGGTCTTAAAGATGTAAATATTATTCGAGGATCGGATTATCAGTTAGAATCGTATGTGTTTATGCAAATGAAAATATATTTCACTGTTAGAATTTCAGTAAATTGATCATAAAATGCTAATAAGCTACCGTGCTTTTCAGTAAAAGTTAAGATATGAAGCATAAATATAATTTATGGTTCAGTTTAGTGGAGCTAAAATATATTTATATATAGGCAATATACGATAGATCTTTATAAGATGGCTTCTAAAGTAACACGCGATGAAGCAGCCATATTAGAGGGTTCAACGTTGGCTTCTTTATTATCACCACTCTATTTCGCTATCGATCAATATTATTTAAATGCTGATATAATTGTAGCTGGAGCTGATATGTATAAATATGCTGAACTAGCTAACAAAGTATGTATTTTTGTTCAAACCAAAGATTTTTCCAGATAGCTTTTATGTAAGTGGATTAATAAAACATACTTTAGTTGCTTATGGCGCATGGTGAAATGCCTCGAATTCAACTTTTGGTACCCGTATTTCCATCGATTGCTTCTGATAAAATGTCAGCGACAGATTTTGATTTTCTTCTGGATCCTTTAGATACACCAAAACAGACACGACAAAAAATTGGTCGATCATTTTGTGAACCTGGAAATATCGAGAATAATTTTGCTCTTCGCCTAGCCGAATATATTTTCTTAATCACTAATAATGGTAAGATGTTCAAGTCTATCAAGGTTATCTTTATCTTTTTTCATGAACAGTGAAAAATACGTTTTAGATTTGAAAATTCGTCGAACAGTAGAAAATGGTGGTGATTTATCGGTATCTGAATACAAAGAACTGGAAAAATTATTTGCTGAAGCGAAACTGCATCCAGGCGATCTAAAGTCAGCAGTAACTGATGCAATCAATGATTTTTTTAATCCCGTTCGTACACATTTTGCCTCAACTCAAGCAAAAATGTTGGCATCAGCATTTCCACCATCGAAAGGACGTAAAAAATAAAAAAATTAATTATTAGGCGATTAATGCTATTTATCATCGTTTTCACGAAATGTTTGAAATTTTATCCTTTTTAGCTTTCGTTTTCTATACGATGGATATGATTTGGATTACAGCTAGATTACAAATTTTTTACAAAAACTATTCCTTCTTATTTTGACTCTACTTTCTTTTATTATTTATTGGAGTATTACCACATATAATAGGTGAATGTGGTGCATAGCAATGATTTAGGGGTCACTTTCCTTTGGTAGTTATAAACTGGCTATTAACAATGAAAAAAATAATCCGGTGGACATTTTTCCTTTATATTTGGTTTTTCCTTTATATTCCTTTATATTTGCAGTTTATTTTACAATAATTCTACATCGATGTATTCAACATTTTGCTGTTGTTATTTTCTTGTGAAGTAAAATTTTGTACTATTTACTTTTTGTCAAGTGAAGGGAAAAACTATGGGGCAAAAATGATTATGCTTTTTGTGAGTTTTTATATATTATTGCCCAAGAATAACGTTGAATAACTTTTATTTTTCGGCAATATGACATACATTAAGGGGGTACTACGAGTTTGAAAGGGCGGTTGTTGCCTCAATTTTTTCAGTCGGTTTATTGTGCATTGCTTCCTCACTTTTGCGCCGACACTACCATTTTCTTCCCTTCGCAATACGCATTTTAGCCGTCTTGAACCAAAAACTTTATTCCTTATATCGTTTTATTGGCCTCCTATCATCTATAATTCCAATTAGGGTAAGGAAAACTTTAATATTACATTGCTAAAAATTTCTTTTATCCTAAGACGATTGTCCGCAAAAATTGTGGGAAATTTATTTTGAATTTAAAATGGATCTCCAAATTTGATGTGTTGCGGTGGTGAGATGGGCTTGTTGTGTATGATTAGGGATGGGGGTCGTCATATGTGCTGTGGTACTCATAATTTTATCCCGTTAAATTGTAAAATAATTTATTTTGCTTATCCAAATGTTTTAAATGTTTTGTTAATTCTTTTATCTTTCTGATAAATTAACGGCTTTTCTAACAAATTCTTGAATTCGTCTGTCTTCTAAATCTGAAATATTTTTAACAATTTTTTTAAAATTGAAATATGAAAGAGGAAGGTTCGGTTCTTCGATAAGAATAAACCTGTAATCGACTCTTGCAGATTTCTAACAGCCTGTTGGGCTGGAAATAGCACTAATCACTCACTCTTTTTCATTGACTGAATTTTGTGGTGATTACGACTATCAAGAGAAGAATTCCAAACGAAAAATTTTGCAAGACGTACGTACACATATTCAAAGAAATTTAAATAAAGAAATTCTTTGATAGAAATTCTTCGAAATTCTTTTGTTAGGCCGAGGACAGTCCGACCGATATGTGTATTGCTTGGTCTGCCAGATCAACGCTCATGGTTCGCCCCATAATTTACTCAATTTCCCATTAAGAATCAAATCAGGCTGGTGCTGGGGATATCTGTAACCAAGCGACTCATTCTCTGGCGAAATGATCTCACCCTTGGATAGCCATTTGTACCTAACCGGAAATGGTGAATGCTATAGAATATTGAATTGGATATTAGCATCTAGTTCTTTTTAATTTTATGATTTTGGAATTCTAGAAAGTTGCAATTATTCCACTAATTTTTTTTTGTAAACATTTTTCCACTTAAAATTTTTTTAGCAGGTCATATTTATTAAGAAAGTTCTTTGTTTTCATAGTATTCCTTTTTTCCATTTCTTATTTTCTTTTCTTTTTAATTTGCATATCTTATATCTGTAATCTCATAATCTTCTTTCTCATTCATATTTGTTTACTAGTGCTATTTAATTATAATTGAAACACTGTGCCTCCCATCTATGTTACTGAATGACCTCAATTTTTACTTTTCATCAATAACCTTTCGTCATTATTCATTGGGTTATTGTTCATTTCTTTATTTTTTCTAGTCGTGCTTGTCGTTTAGTTTTATTCGCACTCTCTTCAATAACTGATGGGATGGTAAATAGAAGTGGGTTAAATAATAGGATGAGTAAGAGGTCAATGGATCATATGGTCAAACTGGTTTTACTGGTGAAACGATCAAGCATATGTGCGATATGAAACATGGATATTTTTTGAGGAATAGTCAAACCACTCCGATAGGAAAGCAGTAGGAAGATAAATACCGCATCCAAATAGTGGAATCTTCCCATAAATGACTGTGAACTTTTGTATTCCACTCATTTTCCTTGTTCCTTATTTGTTCCTTATTGCAGCCAGGCTTCAATTATAATGTGCGATATACGATATATGAAACTGAACTAATCTGAAACCCAAAACCTTCAAACTTAAGCGATTAAGCCTTTAATGTTTATCGTACAATAAAAGCATATTATAAAGTAGAAATAAAAACTCAACCGATCAAGACCGTCCTGATATTCTTTTTTCAATAAATCCTTTTCAAGCAGTTCTATCCTCTTACTTTATTTCTGTTTTATAACACAGGTTATATGTTGTATGGTATTGTAATATTAAAGGTTCAGTCACCCAAGTTTGAACCTTCTGTGTGATAAATTCAATCAATTTCTTCGTCTTCGCATTATAACAAAGAGCGAAGCCTGGATGCAATATTAGGAGCAAGAAAAAAACGCTTGGTAGACAAAAGTTCACAACATCCTTCATACGAAAATTCCACTATTTGATTATGGTATTTTCGCGTAATTGCTTATCATATTTTATTGTTGATTTCCTTTTTTTTAATATATTCCTCTCTTTTTCATTTGTGAAAAATAAGTGAATCAGGTATGAGCTGGTTTCGATTTTAATGTTTTTTCTTTATTGGTTATTCACATTTAATATGCAAAATAATTTTCTATAGTTTCGGAGAGTTCTTAATCCGTTAACCTTTTGTTTTTTGATTCATATAGTTTTCCATTTCTTCGTTTCGTCGTTTACCACTAAAAATTTCTGGTTTTGCGTATTCCACTTCTTACTAGGATGAGGTATTTACTAGAGAGTTGCTTGTGTTCAGCCTGTAAGCCATCAATGCCGCAGGGATTTCAGTAATTTTACGAAAAGATTTGCTTCTTCTAAAGCGTGATTTTTTGATTGTTAAAGAAAAAATTTCGAAAAGATCACAATCATCCATGCAGAGAAATCATTCTTATTTCGATTGATTCATTTTCATATGCGTAAATGCGAATGGATTGTATTCTACGATTTCCTAGCAGCTTTGTTTCAAAATTAGTATCCACGATTGCAAAAATATTGTGTGGAAATTATCTTATATTGTTTATTTCAGTTTATTTAAATTAATGGCTTATATGTCATTATTAAGTTAGAATTTTTCACATTTTTAATTTCCACATATTTTTTCACCTTATATCTTCAATTTGTGTTCTTTATTCACGAATGAGCTTCCAGGATAACGTTTCATAGATATTACCTTTTCTTATTTAAGTGCTATTTTTCTTCGAAATTTTGTTTTCTTTTGGTGGTTATCTATTTTTTCTTTTATCATTTAGTTTCAACTGATAGGTACCATTTAGCTCATTTTTGATGTGATTCACCACAGTTAGTGGTAGTGATTTATTTATTATAATACATCCCTGCGCCATTTTCAGCGATTCATAAAACTTTTCTCTTCATCAAAGCGATTTTGAATTCTAATTAAATTTGTAATTATTCACTTCCTTCATTTTGTTCTTTTTTATCATTTAATCATTTTGTTTTTTTACTTCTTTCATCGCGTACATACCAACAGTAAGCGTGGTTTGCCTAATCGGTAATGGTAAGCACTAACTACATATCTTTTTCCATTGCAGACTGTTTTACGATTTTGTTTTTTATTAAATTAAACCTTTATTTAATAAAATTTTAATAATTTTTTCATTATTTCACGCCAGCAAGTTTTCCACACAAAGCGCAAAGTAAAGTCTGATATCAAAAAGTTTTCAGGAAAAATGATTCCATTCGAATTACTTGTAGAGGATAAATTGCTTAAGAAGCATGTAAGTGCTATTTTTCTTCGAAATTTTGTTTTGGTGGTATTTAAACTTTTTCATATTTATCTTTACGAATTCGCAGCAAATTTACTATAGGAAAGCGACGTTTATCGCAAAAAAATAACTCAGCCTACAACGAAGACACAAAAAATTGGAAACATGAATCCGAATTTGCGGAAACTTTACCCTAAGCCACTGCTTTTCACTCATCGAGAAGATAGAACAAATGGTAAAATAATTTTTTTTTTTTTATTGAGTAATTTTTTTTTGCTTTTCTTTTTTGATATGTTTTTTGGGTAATTTATATTTTCGTTATTACTTACTGGTTACTAAATGATTAGATTTGAGAAAGATGGTTGCCAGAATTTTTTTCCAGTAACATTGGCGAGTGTGCGTTACAATCCGAAATTACGAGAAACGTTTTTCGAGCAGGCATTTGATCAGCACATTCTCATTGGGCTGGGAGATGCTGCTAAAGTAATTAAGAATTTTACTTGATCATTTGCTTAAAATCTGGAATATTTTCTTTTTTTTTGTTTTTCTTAAATTTTTTGGAAAATTGCAATTCAATTTTTCGCAACTCAGATATTTGCCATCTGCACTTTCTTCGACTTTACAGGTATATGCAGTAAGATCTTGCGATGACGGTAAATATTATGCAGTTAAAAAGATGGCAGGGTATCACAGCACTAGCTCTCCCGTTTTTCAAGAGATTAAATACCACGAAAGGCTTGGTTATCATCCAAATATAGTACATATGGTTCGAGCATGGGGTCAGGACGGTCGAGTTTATATGCAGTTTGAACTGTGCGTTTGCAAGTAAGCTCTTCACTTAATCGATGGCTTACTTATTTTATTTTCTATGTGGAGTGTAACTGACTGTATTTTTTTGGTTTATGGATGTAGCAGAATGGTAGAATTTCAAAAAAAAATTCAGCTACTTTCAGCCTGGCACAATATGCTTATTTAGCAGTTAAGATCGATAAAGAAGATTTATGGCTTATTTTTGCTGATCTTGTAAGGGTATGTTGGTTTTTTTTTCTATTTTTTTATTTGCTTTATTTCTTACAAATTTCTTATAAATTATCTAAACGTAAATTTTTATTCTTTTTTCGTTTCTACCTTTCATATTTCAGGGAATCAATTACATGCATTCACTTAATCTTATCCACGTGGATTTGAAATTAGAAAATATTATGGTAACCAAAAATAAAGTTTTTAAATTGGGCGATTTTGGCTTGGCTTTCCATTTGCAAGTTCGTTTTATTTTAAATTATGCATAATTATTGTTTTTCTTTGTTTTATTGACATTAATATTAGGAGTCGGATTACGACAAATTCGAAGTAGGCGATGCTCGGTATGCTCCATCCTGTAACGTTGGTCCCTCAAAGGCTTACGATATTTTTGCCCTGGGAATGTGCATGTTTGAGTTAGCTACCGATTTTTGTCTACCTAGTGATGGAGGCAGATGGAGTGACTTAAGGAAGCAGAATGTTCTGGAAAATCTTCTAACAGGTTTTTTTCGATATCTAAAAATTCTAATTAAAAATCAATTCAAACTTATTAAAACATTTAGCGATTATTGATGTTGAGGTTATATTTTTAATTCTATTTGTTTTTCTCAAAATCAGACGAAATAGATTAAACCTATTTGAGATGTTGATGAGAATTTGGTGAAATTAATCCTTTGGTGTTTGAAAAACGATCCGAAAGAACGACCAACAATTGAACAGCTTGCTAGTGATCCGATTTTAAAATCATATATCATTCAGCGTGAAAATTTGTTCAATTCTAAAGAAGTATTTATTGATAATTTTCATGGTTTTTTTAATCGTAATGTTCAATTAGACTGTTTCGACTGCTATGACAATAATTATTGAAAAAATTGAAGCGAAAGATAAAATTAATCCGACAGGTCTTAAACATTTTAGTATGGTCCTACAAATTATCTTGATTTATCGGCTTTTGATCTGGAAAATTCGAAAATTGAGAATTTCGCAGGTATTACTATATTTGTTAAAGTATTTTTTTCTAATGGGATTTGGGAATGAAATTTTTCAAAATTCCCAAAAATTTTTTTAGTGGCCTTTTTTTTATACCTTTAATCTAAATGTTTAGGTGGAAGTTCATTTACTGGTGAATGGTGGTCTCCAGATGGATCTTGCTCGCCTTTTTCAAAAGAAATACATAATGCGTAAATTTTCAGTTTTTCTGTTGAGTATAATAATTTTGTTCGAATAATTATTGTTGTTGTAAGCGTAAAATTAATTAATTATGTTGAAATATTGTTGAATTTAAATTATTTACAAAGCATGTTCCTATAGTTCATATTCTTTCAGTGATCCTTGCGGGAGTGTTTTGTCATCGATTTCACCAATTAATCGTTCGTTAAGGATAACAGCACTTGAAGAAAGTTTCCGTAACGTTGTGAGTTCAACGCCTGATCTATGCGATCAGTTTATACTTCCTCCGAAAACACCTTTAGGAATCTACCTGTGTGCTACTTTATTCTTCCCACATTATAATACTGATTTCGTTTTTCGGGATTTACTGCATCTAGTTAGTTTTTATTCTATATATCTTTGTATTTGGGAGATTTTTTCTGTTATTTTTAACATGAAAATTTTTTAGCCTTTATCACCGCGTGAGAGAAAATGGCAAAGGTTTATCAGCAAAAGATTTTCAAGAAGCAAATGTGTAAGCAAATATGTAAGAATATTTTTGTTTTATTCATTTAATTTTGTGAGTTGTTTCATTGATCATGTGGAACCAATATTCTTTGATTGATTTCTATATTTTTTTAAAGAATAGTGCATCGCTACCTTTAACCCATAATTTATATTTTTTTATGCTTACTGTTTTTTTCTCGGTATTTATAGAGATTTTTCTGATTTTTATTGCCTTGATACTTTCAAAAAATTTAGTCTTCACTTTTCTTATTAATTTCAGCTATATGAATCGCATAAAGAATTATTCGAAGACTATGATTCTAGTGTTTTGGTAAATTATTTTAATTGATTTATTTATTCTTTTAATTATTTTTCACATTTTTTGTATTTTTTTTGCATTCTACGAGAAGTTTTATTTTCGATTATTAGAGGTTAGTTTAATTTTAAAAATATTTTGGAGAAAAAAAATTTTCCTCTTTTCTGAATTTTTTTCTGTTGGATTTGGATTTCTGGTTACACATGGACTATGGATAATTTATGGAGCTTGAAATAATCTTGACCTATTGGTTAAAAAAAATTCTCTTTATTTCTTTTCTATGCTGACTTCTTTATACAGTAATATTTTTCGTTATAAAATTAGTTCATTTGTTATTACTCAGCTTTTATCTTTAACTATGATTTTGCCATATTTATTTCTTGGTTATAATGTAAATATTTTTAATTTAGGGTAACATAGAACGTAGTATTAGCTCAAGTTTTGGAAGTACTGAGCTTAAATGCATGAACAAAGATGAATCGAATACAGGATTAGAATATATTGAAGGAGGATTAGATCAGACAGACAAAAAGGATAAAGTTCCAACTGATCCATGTTATAATCGACCTAATAGCGATTTAGATCGATCAATTTATATTATATCAGAGGTTAGTAAGTGTTATTCAACATTTTTGTCTCTTTTTTTTATTCTATTGGATAGTCTATTGTAACAAAATAATCAAGCCACTAATATAATTTTTCAAGATTCAAAAAGGAAATCAGAAAAAATGGTCTTTAGCCATTTATTTAAAAAAGAGCCAAATATTTGAGAAGATTGCTAGGTCGAAAAAAAAAAACTAGGTGTTCGAAAATCGTATAGTATATTAATCTATCAAAAATTTTATATTTTCATTTATATCAGCTTATAGTATTTTGTGATGCCTAGGAGATTATTTGGAGTGTGAAAGTTTAGTCGAAAATTTTCCTATTTAGGCTGACTCTGATGAAATCGTAAACGAGACTTTGGAAAGTGATTATTCGGTTGGATTAGATGGCGATATTGCTTCACTGTAGTAGCAGGAAAATTAAATTTATGGTTAAATGTCATCACTGTTTTTCATTTTATTTTTATTTATTTATGTTTCAGATTTTTATGAGATTTATTTTTTTCTGTTTGTATATCTTTTTTTTAAATTTATCTTGGTTTTTATCATATTTAAAACATTGTCTACTGTTTTATCATCCATCTTTTAATTTGTGTGTTATGTCTTTTAAGATGGAATTTATTGGAATTATTTATTATTCAACCACATTTATTTATATTTATATCTGCTCAATATAATATTTAGCTGATGTTTGAAGAATTACTTGGGATAAGAAAGTTAGCTGAAGAACTTTCGGGTATATTTTTAAGCCTCTTTGGTTGCAGCACACGAAATAAGTTGTGGTTTGTGTGGATTAGTGGATGACATAATATACTACTGCTTGCTTGCAATAGCTCTAATAAATTATGTTGAATGACTTCTTCATTTTTTATTTTTATTTATTTATGAGTTTTATTTGTTTTTTATTTTTATTTGCGTTTTTTTCAAACTTTACATAGTTTTATGAATTTTTTCAGTTGCATGTGCCTTTTTTTCAAATTTTGCACTTTTTTTCTTATCTTATATTACAAATTATATTAGTCTTATTTGTCGTCCAAAATATATTTATCGTTTTTTTCGAAGGATAGTCATTTATTTATTGAACTGTAGTTTTTATCTTTATTTCTAAAATTGCTTCAACAAATTAAATAAGTTATCTTTATAATTATTTATTTTTGTAATTATTTCATCAAATTAAATGGGTTTTATTTATAATTTATTGCGATGCTTGCGTCGGTTATTTAGGTTGCATAGATAAATTTGCAAATATTGAATAGGATAGGAATAAAAATGGCGTATCTGTTATTGCACATGTTCCTTTTTGTATATCTTTGTTTTATATATTATTGTTTTTATATATTATTTATTTTTGCAATGTTTTGTTTGGTCGCATAAAAATTTTGATGGCCATTTATACTTCGGACAAATATGTGGAAAAAATATTCAGAAATATTCAGAATTCAGGGTAAAATATAAAAAAGAATCTGGATCTTATGCATTTTGTTATATTCTTTCTCAATAATACATTTTTTATTGAATAAAAGATGAGTTTTTTAAATTTTTTTTGTTGGTTGGTCGCGGGCGTTTGCAATTTATTCCATTTGCTTTTACTAATTTCGTTAGGCATTATAGATATTACGGATTTCAGCTGGTGGGAAGTACGCTTCTAAGCGGATCGTTTCGGGAAGGTTTTCATCGATTCCTTATGGAAAGGTTCCTTATTTTCATCTGATTTGTAGTGATGGCACCGTAGGAATCAAAAGTGCGTTGGTTCTTCTGATCAATTTGCTTATAATTTAATGGTTTTTGAGGAAGTGATGGTGCGTCAGTGATTATTCTAAAATTGGGCAAATTTTATTGTTAATTAGTGCTGAATTGGTTTTTATTGGGTGGAAATATCGATTTTGGATAGAAATGTTGACTGCTTCCTACGAAGTAACGTGAAATTCAATAATTTCAATCGATTTTTGAGAAATTATGCTTATTTTTTTGGGAATTGAGCAAATGAATTCTTTTATGTTTTTCCGTCTTTTGTCGATTTGTTTCTCTCTTTAAATGGAAAGGCAATTTGTTAAAATATTATTTTGAAAAGTTTTTGTACTCATCTCGGTTTTATTCGCAAATAAAATGGACAAAGCGTCGGAGTGGTGGGGCAGCGGTTTCCTAAGCCTAAGCCCTAAGCCCGTTTGCTGTAGAATATGCCTCAACTTCGAGTTATAAAATTTGCGTGGAAGAGACTGAAAATTTGGTGGCGCATGAATATTGTTGGTTCACGTTGATTCACGTTGTGCAGTTTCAGTTTTTTCAAACCGAAGCATAATTTTGGTTAAATTCATTTGTACTGTGGGAAAATGCATTCTTTGGCTTGTGGAATAACTTGTTTCAGTTTCTCTGATGTTCCCTTTCAAGGTTAAACTATGTTGAAAGCGATTATTTCCAAACTCTATGTCTCAGTGTTTTTTGTCTTAGCTACTTTTATTAAAACGGGGAAATTGTTCGCAAGATGAGGTCTGATCCGGCAGTCTTGTTTCTGATGAAACTTAGTCCATTTGCTCGAACAATTATTGTTACTTCGGGAGCTGTGCTTATCCATCTATCGCTCGGCACGTATCATACGTTCGGTAAGAATTGAGCTTTTCTACTTTTTCCCATGCATTAGATCCACTTTAATGCTCGACAGTATTTTATTTGCTGAATTTCAATTCATCATGATTTCTCAGTTTTGTTTGTGTCTTTGAAGTCTTAAATTTTTATTTCTATATGATAAATTCCAGGCAATATGTTGCCTTACATGGCTTCGTTTATGAAGAATTTCACTGATTCAAGCATCAGTGAAGAAAAACTCATCTGGATTCCCAACTTTCAAGGTTATAGAATGTGCTGAATCAACGCAGCCAGTTTGTTTGGACTTATATTTTAAGTTTGCTCTTTCAGTTATTTTATGTTCCATTTCAGGATGTTTCCCTTTTGCTATGGTGATTGGAGGCAGTTTGAATTCACGAACAAACGCTAGAGTTGCGGCTTTTGTGGGATGCTTTTTTATGACGTACTTTTTTCGAGTTTGAAAAAAAAATCCATCAAGATTTGCAGACGGTAGTTTAATCGACTTTCCCATCACGATTTGCGATACATCAGTTCTTTTATCTTGGTCGTAATAATCAAAAGGGTATTGAGAAATTGAGGATTATTAGGATGCAGAAATTTTTCACGATGATGACAGGGAGAAAAGGCTTAGGTACAAAAAACATGGGTTTCGTTATCTTTAGGTTATGAATCTTCTCATTGAATGGAATGAGAAGCGGTGTGTTGGTTCATTTAATGTGGGGCAAGGGTTCGAAGGGTTTCTCGCACCTTAGGGACAATTTGTAACTGGAATCAAAATTCAGGTGATGTTACAGATTCATACCCTATTTGTAATTCTCTTCCCATTAACTCTGTGGAAAGATTTTGCAGAGAGATTTATTGGTCGTTATAGCCACGATAGAAAGGTGAATGCTGTTTAGAGTGTTAAGGAGATGAAATTTTTTTTAGAAATATTATTTAAAGGTTAGGAACATTGTTGACATTCTGGACGATACAAATGTCGTTCTCTTTATTTCTCATAACTTATGGAATCATGTTTGGTCTAGGTCAAGGTATGGCTTATGTAATAACAATGTCGGTCGCTATTAATGTAAGTATTTGAATCAAATTATTTCTTTTTTGGCTTTTTAGAGGAAAGGGCTTCGTTCAGTAGGGATAAAGACGATTAAAATTTCCAGAAATTTGGGTTCCATAAATATTACTCAACGAAATTTAAGGTGGTTCTAGAACGAGCACTTTCTTCATTTGCATGTACTTTTTGATAATTAGACGCATTTCTCTAAATCTGTATTTTTAGTTAAAACAAGGAAGTGATAATTTAGAGTTTCTTGTTCTTTCCTTTAGAATTTTATTTTATATTTTATAATATAAATTTATATTTATATTATATATATATATATATAATTTAAAAAATATAAAATAAAATATTTATATTTTATAAAATATTTATATTTTATTTTATATTTACTTATATTTTTTTAGTGGGCACGTGATCACATTGGTTTGATTAGTGGAATAGTGGCTGCTGGTTTCGGTATAAGTTCTTCTGTCTTTACACCTATTCAAACGCTTCTTATTAATCCAATGAATTATAAGCCGACTAAGAGTGGGTAGATTTTTAATATTATCAATGGCGTTTTATTTGATCTTTTCTTTCCACTTTATCGTTATTAAAATTCGTTTATTTTTTCCTTTCTAAATAAATATCCTTTCTAAATATGCTATTTTACGAATCATTCTCTTCTCTTAGTTATTGTGAAACAAAAAAATATTAATTTAAACTACCGAAATTCAATGTTTTTTGAACGAATACGCCAAATAATTTGAATCAACAGAAAGTACAGTTGAAGATTTTAAGTTTTAAATTTCCAGCATTTTTTATTCACTTTTGGAATGTGATGATCTATAAGTTTTGTATAGTGATGGCTGTTTTTCAGGTATTTCACGGAGAAAGAATTAACCAGTCGAGTACCGTCTGTATTCTACATTCTTGCTATAATTTATACATTTATGCAGTTGCTAGGCTTACTTGTTATCTGCGATCCTCCAGATGTGGTGATTTTATTTGCTAGTCTTTACTCGAAATATTCTCTTACTTTATTTCTCATATATAGCCCGATATTTATTACTTGGCTTTATTGTTATATTCCCAGAATTTCAGGAAGATCTGCTTACTATTTTAGTTTATGGTATCAGTTGCATGCATAATTTTTTGATATTTGTTTTGAGGACTCTCGTTTTTGCGAACTTCGGTTCGAAAGTGTTCACTAATTCTCAAATTTAAAGCATAAAAGACATTACTATAAATTATTGTAATTATTTATTCATTCAAATTCTTTATTCTTATGCGGATGGTCGATTTTTTTTTGTACCATATTAATATGTGGAATATGTCATGCTGCACAGGCTTTATTATACCTTTTAATATTAATTTCTGTTTAAAGGAGGAACAACGAAGAGCTATTCAAGAATATCTACTGCAAAAAGCATGCTGCAATATGAGCGCATTCAAAAAGCAATCAAATGCCTCATATGGTCGATACACCTACATTTTGCTAGGTGAATCAGAAGAGGTTTCCTTGTTTATTTTTGTTTAAACGAGTTGCAGTGAACTTAGACGAGCATAATTAAACTGGCGAACCGTCCTATTGTTAAAAGCATTATTTGAATTACATTTACTTTCATTATTTTCTTTCATTCGAATTACTTTCATTTTATTTTCACAGTACTAAGCTAGTCAGAAATGTGAATTGTAGAGTAGTTCAGCGGATGATCAACGATCTGACGATAATAATAATGATGATGATATTATTCCACCTGGTTTGGCTAAAGCTGCTGACAATAGATCAATGAAGACGATCGATGTTGTTAAAAGTTCAACATTTTTCTGGCTTTTCATTGCACTTTTTTGTTGTTCTTTCTATGGAAATATGTTTTATAATTTATACAAGGCAAGCTTTTTTCTCTTCATTGGTTCGATCATTTTTTTTCTGCATTAGCGTTTTCATGAAACATTTCTTATAACCAGTAATTTTTCTATTATAGACAAGCGATCTGCTATAACTATTACTTCAGAAAGTTCAGAAATTTAAAAATTTTAATTGAACTGCATTTTCAGACATATGGTGAAACATTCATAGACGACGACATATTTTTAGCATTTGCCTTCAGTGCTTGTTCGTTTTTGAATGCAGTAGCACGAATTGGTTGGGGATTTCTTGTGGATAGAATAGGCTTCCAAGTAGAAGTTGTCTGCATACGAATAATTTTATTATTTTATCTGGTTTTTCTCTTTTGCTCCCTTTCCTCACATTATCTTTTAAACAGTCCCGTAGGGTTCAGTGACTGTTAGGGCATTGTCTTTTCATCAGGAGTCACTTGAAGATATATACATGTAGCTCACCCTCAGCACCACCTGCAGGCTTATCGTTTATTTTAATGACTGGTTAGAGGTCGAATTCATTTTTCCTTTGCTTATCGTTTGACTGTCCTAACTTTCTTATTTCTAGGTATGTTTGGCATTTGCGACATTTCTCGCTACTCTGTTGCTTATATCGATGCCACTGGCTTCTTTCGGTGGTAAATGGATGTATTTTATTTGGGTGAGTATCTTAATTGTTTTTTGAGCTTTCAGTTTACAAGTCAAAGTACCGGAAGGATTAGAGAAGGAGAAAAATCTGTTTTCTTTGTAAGGCTAACTCTAAAGGTTAAAAAAATTGATTTTTTTCAAATCATGATTTATTATATTCATAGATTTCCGTCATTAAATTTTAGTTTGGGTTCCCAAAAATTCAGAAGACGTAAAATATTTTGAATTAGCTTCTTGGATCATTGTTTTATAGAAATTCATAGTTTGTTTAGAAGATTTATCTTATCTTTATCTTTTATCTAAGGTTTATCTTTTATCTTTACTTTTTCGAATGAATTTCATATGTCGAGTATATGAAGAAATTCAATGTTTTTCATAATATTCTTGTTTGTTCCTTTTCTAATAACAAGAATTTAAGATGTGCTCGATGTTCATATGTATGGCTTGTACTCATGCTTCATTCATAACCGCTACAATTAGATGTTTCGGAACAAAAAATAAATCTCTAAACTATGGTTTTCTGATATTATCCACCGTTAGTATTAATCATTTCTAAGTGGATTAGAATTCGGATTTTTCGTGATAATGGTTTGAAAGTTTGGCATGAAACGTTCTGTTATTGGTTCAACAATACAGTTTTAATATATTTTCAACGTTTCTTTAGCGTTTATAATATCTATCCAAAATGTTCTCCAAAATCCTAGTGATGTTTGGTTTTGAACTTCTTCTCCTTCTAAAAGCTCTCAACATTACTGGTTAGGCTGGCTACAAGGGTAAAACGTCTCCAAGTTGTTCGATCCGACGCCATCGCTAGTAGTAATAAAAGCTATTCCTTTTTCCATCGTCTAAGTCCGTATATCGCTGGTCTCTCTATACGTTCAAAATTTTTCCTGATTGTATCGGTCCAGATCTTGATTTGTCTTTCTCGATTACCAGCGAAGACGATGCTCTGTGATAACATTGTTAATGCAGGTGGTATTTGGGCGAAGATGGATATAATCATGTGCGATTTTATTTGCTCGACGAACCTGTAAAATGTAAAATATATCTTAGGCACAAGTGGTCAAAGGCTGATAGCTTCTTCCACTCTTATTGGACAACCATATAGCGAAATCGAGCAATAAACTTGATTTTGAACATATTTTTTCGTACTCTTCTGGCCTAATAATTCTAGCTTAACGATTATTGTGGGGAAATCTGCATCAACCATAGTGGGATTTTTTTATTTTCGTTACTAATTCTGTTTTTATTTTTGCACAATTTGCTTATAAAGTCCATTGCAGACTTTAAGCTCCATTTTGTTGTCATTTGCATGTGAATATTGCCTCTTGTATTTCGGTTATACATGGTTCTTCAACATAACGGCCTTGTTCACATTAATAGGTGCGTGATTTCTTTAAAATTATACTTGTCATTTCTCTATAAACAGTTAATTTACCATGAAAAAAAGGTCCATCAATATACAACATTCTGAAACCAATTCTTCCTAATTTTATATCATAAAAATTATGATGGACGGATGTTACTACAGGTTAAGTTGAATTCTCAGCGTTAATTCAAATTTAATGGTTTTATAATTTAATTACCGTTGGTACCATGATTTGGCATTATTGCATACGGCGTCAATCATTTTGAGCAGCAATAATTTTGAATCTTGTTTGTTAGTCCGACAATTTCCGTAGAATTGAAAGCTTAAATGCTTACAGAAATTAGTTGATTGAAATATTTCTGAACAGCTTGAGTCATATGTTTCATTCTCACTAGTGGCTTTTTTCTAGCATAATGAATAAAATAAATTTTTTTTTGCTTTGATAAAATTAAAAGGAAATTACTTTAGACGTCTGAGAAATCTAATAAGGATGGTTTCTTTTTTGTGATATTTTCTTCTTCATCTTACTTTTATATCAATAACCATTGTTATTAAAGAACGAAGTGAATAGTGGTTCAAATAATCATATTGCGAAGCAAGATTTCGTCCCATGAATACATTTTCTGTCCATGAATACATTTAAGTTTACTGGTGTTGGCGATCTATCTTTACTTCTGTCGCCAAGTAAATCCCTGGGAAAAATTTTTTCCCTCGCTAACAGCCTGCGGATCTAGCCTAACCACTTATTTCCTTACTTTCTTATTTTTCTTAATCTTATGGGACTTGCTGGGAAATGACATACTTTCCATCATTTAAATTTTAGCATTTGTAATCGTTTTGTTTATCGGAAGAACAGCTCAAGGGCAGCATATCGTTTCTTCTTCATTTTGTTTCTTCTGAGCAGTTGTTACATTAGTTATCTTAACTATTTTTTTTGATATAAATATTTGAACAACAATATTTTTATTGTAGACGTATGTTTTTTTGCCTTTAGAATAATTGCAATAAAACGAATTTTTCTTCGATTCGAAATGAAAATTGCTGTATGTTGCGAAACTTTATGTAAGATACATTGAAATAGCAATTCAGAATTTACTGAAGACATTATATAGACTATAATAATTTAATTTTTTAAATTTTTTAATTTTAAATAGAATATTAGATTACAGCGACCTAAATTTAATTTAAATATAAGTTTATGACCAAGCATGAACAGTGAAAATATATAATGCATAATGAAATAATGCGGAGAGATCCAACAGTAAATAATAAGCGCGGACAAACGCTGTAATCTCGTTAAGGTATACAGGAATAACCTTACTACAATAAAGGTGCCTACCAGTGCTCTATATTGAACGTTATAAAAAAAAGAAAAAATATGAAAAGAAAAATGGAATATTTTTCAACATTTGCAAATAGAGCAGAATGATCGAGTATGTTTTGACTGTTATCGATGCAGTTGATCCGGTTTCTGTTCCTAAATGATAGAAAACCTGTCATTAAAAAGCTAAAATTGGTTGGTGCTGGGAATATTTACTTTTCCAAGCGATTCTCAGTAGAGCATTTGTTTCCTCACTCGAGTGGTTAGTGAAGCTTCAATGATTAAGCAAATTAAGCAAATTATTTGTTGATTGGTGCTCACTTTGTCTGGATCGGCGTGATCCATTGATTAGTGAAAGATTTTTGCCACTTAGTCACTTTGTGATAAAAGTATATGTGGATCATTAGTAACGACCGCAATTTTTAGGGGCAGGTTTATTCTTCCCGTAGGACCTTAAGATGATGATGTGAAAAATATAATTTAGCTATAATGTTATCAAATTCGATTAAGGGTTTAGAAAAAGTACGAGAAAATGATGGCTCAGCGAAGTTTGCGTTTCTTATCTACTTTTTTCAATTTGAAAAAAATTTGAATATTTAAAAATATGGTATTTCAAAGTTCATTATAACTTAACTGTTTAATATTAAAAGGCGTTTGACCCCTACTTTTTCAGATAGTTAACGTCTTCGCTGTTTGACTTCCTTGAATATTTTAATTGATATTTTCAATTAATCGAGGGTTTCGAAAGGTTATCAACAACTGATTTAAATGTGGGGCAATTAATTCGTCAAAATCATATAATTTCTTATTGTAATTAATCACAAAAACATTTTATTTGTAATTCTTTTTGGTTTAAATTTGGTTCCTGAAAAATAATGAAAAGCCCTTTCTCATCCCCTGTGGGTGGTGTGGGTCATCCTCAACTTTGGGTTCTTTACCGAAGATTGGAAAACTTGAGGGTTCTAAGTAGTACCTCAGTTGTTCCTAGTGGTGTATTATTTTGGATTACTGGTGTTCCTGGAATCTATTTAAGCTATTTTTCTAGTTTAGGGGTCACAGCCCCTAGTGATCCTATTATCACTGGGGTTACATTGGCTTTCTATTTCTCTAGTTCCTCTTCCAGCCTCTGGTACTTCTCTAGTTTCTCGCATTCTTTCTTCCTAATGTTCCAGTCACTTATTGCTTTGTCTATCATAAGTGCTGATTTTTGGTTCTTATATGTTGCCACGATATCTGGTTAATTGGCAAGCTTGTTTGTCTGGATCGAAAAATTCCACAGGTTGTTGTTATTCCCAAAGCTTTTCTGAAATATACTAATTCATATGGTCCTGCAGCTTGATGGCTATGATGCCTGATGACACTTGTGGGGAAAGTATTTATTGGCCATTAGTTGGATAATGTTATCTTACGAAGATCGTTCATGATCAGTACTGTTTTATTCTGTGTTATCTAATCTAGATGAGAGTCCGCTGCAAATAGCTGTGTTGTTACGTTCATAAACTAGTGTTAGTTTCTTTAGCCAGTAAGTGTGGATCATATCTGGACCAGATGCTGTTTAGCTTTTCATATTTTTAACCCGCTATTGCAACTGCAATGCTAATTGCTTCCTGCTTTGGGAGATTGCTGTAGTTTATTCTCAGTTCTTCCAGTCATTTAAGATTGATGTTGTGAATCTTTTTATCCCATATATTCTTTCGTTGTTAATCGGTTTTTGCTGTTACCATATTACTGCGTTGAGAGTACAGCTTGGATGGTTGGTTCCTTAAAGAAAAGTGTATTTATTTGTATATTTTCTCTAGTATATTTCCTAGCGGCCAGTGCTATAAGCCTTTGTTTAGCAGTCTCTAAGTTTAGTTTTTTGATGGATAGTCCTTGTATTTTTCTAGCATTAACTATCTTAATTTCCACATACTTCTGCATAATTTGCTCTGACCTTATTCTCCAATCTCATTTTCTGGCGCAACATATCCTGCTATTCCTGATTCTATATTTAAATATGCCCAAAATTACAATTGCTGGCGTACACCAATTCAGTGGTTCTTTTTATTATGAAAGCAGATATGGTGACTCTATTCGCATTTTTAAGTACTGGTGGTACTGTTTGGTGGTACTTCACTGGTCCCCAATAATCGAGGGTTGATTATAGTCAGCTTACTCATGATTTTAAGCCTTATGTCAATTGTTTTGCTTTGCAGCAGGGACGTTGGAAAAAAACCTCCCAGGATGTTGGGACACCCCAGCAGAATCTATCTCCAGTTGAAAGAGTTGCTTCTTATCTTCTATGTTGAAGCTTTGAGCAACTAGATGTTTTTCAGTTAATGTTGATATAGGTTGCTGGATGAAGAACTAGAGGAGTTGTAGAAAGTGAAGGCCAAAATAGACTCAGTGGTGGTGGGAGCGCTAGGAGATTCCTAGAAAAGTGGCTTCAGTAGATTCCAGAAACAAAAATTCCAGATAACCAGAGGCTTTTGTCCAGAAAGTCGCACTGCTAGCATCAGATAACATACTGCTACTGCGCAGAATTCAAGTCCCCAGATCTCTGGCAGAGAACCCAATATTGAGGTTGATATATATATATATATATATATATATGTATCATATTTATGACATGAAAATTGTCAGCAACTAACAAAATATTGAATTGGTAATTATTGACAAACTTGCATCCTAGTTATTGCTTATCTAAAAATTCTCATAGAAACCACAAAACACTCAAATATCAACATTGAGAAATATTATAATAAATAATAATAGAAAGTAATATCGAACTGGTGAACTAATCGAGAGTCGTCCAATCAAATTAAAAACATGTATACGAGAATTATCATTTACATTCAAAATATTTTGTTTTGAATTTAATTTATTATTGAATTTCCTTGCTATTCTTATTTTTGTGCTTTATAAATATTTTTTGTGTGTTTTACAAATAAACTGAAAGTAAAATAAATATTCCTTGTAAAAAGTCCAACAGTTGAGTGAAAATGTCTTCAAATCCTGGTAGTATAACCCTTGCTTGAATTCCCTTTAAACCCTGTATTTTCTATTAATCAGAGTCGATTCATCAAGTTAAGCAGACGATGCTTCGCCAACTGGAGGGGAAGTTTTTGATTGCGAGAGACGCTTTTAGCCGTTCTGTTTTCATACTTAGTAGATCTCGTCGGTGACAATAGCAACTAATATGGCGACAATCACGTGCTCTCCGATTCAATTTAGGCATCGTAGACAGCAACAGTTTTTCTTTGCTAGTATTTTTCTTCAGATTTATCGTTCCAGTGAAGCTCGCCACTAGTCAATGCTTTTGGTTTTGGAGAGAATAAATGGTTAACGCTTATCATTTTTGATTAGCCTCATCTGGCTATATATGTAGAAATTTTTATTAGGAAGTCATTTGGAGGTGGAAATTCTTCTTCTAATAGCTCTCATCATTACTGGTTAGGCTACAAGGGTAGGACGCTTCCAAGCTGCGCCGTCTGATGCCATCATCGACGTAATCACAGTAATAGAAGCCATTCCTTTTTTCATCGTCTAAGTCCATATATTCACCTATACGTTATAGCTCACCTATAGGTTCAAAAAAAATCTTTTTGACGGTATCAGTTCAGATCCACCTTGATTAGCCTTCCTCGCTTTCGACGCCAACCATCGCATTGTTTAGCAAATAACGAAATATGCGTCACTTCTGTGGTAGATGACGGATAACATGTCCTAACCAGCGAAGGCGACGCTCTGTGATAAAATTATTTATGCAAGCGGTATTTGAACGAAGGTGGATGTAATCATGTGATATCTTATCCGCTCGACAGATCCGTAAAATATACCTTAGACAAGAGTGGTCAGTCTTAATATCCTCCACTCTCATTGGCCATGTCTCAGAGTCATGTAGCAAGGTCGAAGGAATCACGGCTATATAGATGCGGACTTTCGTTTTTATGATTTCACGACGGCTCCATAAAGGTTTCGTCAACCGGAAAAACGCATTTCTAGCTGCCGTGATCCGAGTTATAATATCGTCTTTTGCCTGGCCATTAGAATGGACCCAAGATATTTAAAATCGGGCACTTTCTCAACCTGCAATGAATTTATAAAAAGGCATTTTATCAGCTTTTTGCACGTAAGACGAAAATACTTTCGTTTTATTTACATTGTCCCTGATCCCGATTCTCGCTGCAGTCGCTGATAGATTATTTAGCATTATGTAGGGGAAGGACGCAGCCCTGACGGACACCAGTTCTTATTTCGAAGGAGTCTGTCAATTTCCCATATACACAGTCCTGCTTTGACGTATGCTCATAAAATGCCTTTATGAGTCGAATGATCTTCTCTGGAACACCGTCGCGTTCCATCACCCTCCAAAGCGCCTCTCTATCAATGTTAGCCTCAAAGTTGATGAAAATGTGACATTGGGTTGAAAATATTGAAGGATGTTCCAACACCATTCTTAGCGTAATTATCTGGCCAGCACAACCGCGCCCCGGTCTGAATCCAGCTTGATAAGGGACATCCTGCTGTCCCATACCGTCAAAAATCTATTAAGTAAAAGGGAGGCAAAAATTTTCGCTGA